AAAAAAAAATACAAAAGTTCAAATCATAAACTGAAGCGAGGGCCCGCGTGCTTCAGCTCAATTGAAACTCCAAGCAGCGTGCGAGTTTTGCGTAACAGTTTGAGATCTCGCACTCAAGCTAATTGCAAAGCATCATCATTCCATATAATCTTAATCTGCTCACCCATTCTGCATTCGTAGATTGCGCTAGAATTATAGGTGATGTCATCGATGATCGCAGCTCCGCCTTGTTTGCCGAAAGCGTCTAACGTGAAGTTGTATGCTTCTACCACAATCTAAATGTTATCGTGAAAACTGTGTCTTTCTCACATGAAACAAACCTCGAAAGTGTACCATATAGTTCCAGGTATCGTTACTTTTGCAAGTCTTGTGTTGTTTCTTTTCAATGGCTCACTGCACCATATATAGCGTCTACCCATAGATGGTGCTCTGGAATCACGTTGACGGTTTTTCTCAACATTCAGGACTGTTTTCTCATCAGTTTTATTGGAGCAGGCGTTTTATGCAAAGCTTAATGGACGTTTTATTTCCGTCAACAGCTTAATGAGACGTCTCTTTCTCCATTTCAAGAAACCATTAATTGATTTCAACTAGATTGCGAGAGGGTCTGAAGCCTCCGTTCAACAGATTCGAGCACTCTTCACTTTTATATCCATTTTCTCTACCTACGCACCTATCGTACGCACTGGAAGTTTTCATTGAACCTGTCTCATGTGCAACTTAGATTGTGACTTCACATTAGAACTGGACAAAAGCATTGCAAAGCGAATCATTGCTATAGTAGTCCGATGCAGAAGTTCTTTCCATTTTTTGGATCAACAAATTAAAGACAAACGAACACTTTAAGCAGTATCCTATGCAGAATTTCTTCCTCTTAGCAGCCATGTTTACGATGCGACTGTTTTGACGAAGTTGAAACGATTGCAAGAGCTTGTCTTAGCTTAATCCTTCTTTTTACCACGTCTAAATTTCGCTATTTTTTAGATTCTTTATTTCAAACTTTCAAGGTGCTTTCTCAACCTTTTGCAAACTAGTGCAATTTTTTGCATCTCTCTGACATGTTTTTTAGAAATTGCTAAGATATATCTTTTGAAGTGACAAAATTCAATTGTAAATCAGACGTTGAACAATAGTACCATGTGATGCAACTTTTTCTTCTCTTTCTAACAACTGCTTGTATTCGCAAAACGTGAGACTTTTGTAGGCGAAATCGCCGTATTTTCGAATTCTATGTGTGTCCGAGGTTGTAGGCGAGATTCAAAATCAACACATCTTCGAGCGATAATCACTAATTTACTTTGTAAAATTAGCGGTAATAATTAGCAAGTCTTGGAACTTGAAGATTTTGAAGTGCAGTATTTGGTGCATCCGTTATGGGAGTTTTTTTTTT